GAGTCCCACTCAACTTTTTGAAAGTAGTTCATAAAAGTAGTTCATATGCTTCGTACTTCAAACACTTCAAACTCCTCGACTTACTTGAACACACACAGCTTCAACCTAGGATGAACCTCGCAGTCCACATGATCGAACTGCGTAGTAGTGATTCACGTCATTTTTTGCCATTCAGTAGAGGGGAGTGGGCTGATGATGATGGATGTGTGCACATGTTCACTCTCAGAGTCCCACTCAACTTTTTGAAAGTAGTTTATATGCTTCGTACTTCAAACACTTCAAACTCCTCGACTTACTTGAACACACACATCTTCAACCTAGGATGAACCTCGCAGTCCACATGATCGAACTGCGTAGTAGTGATTCACGTCATTTTTTGCCATTCTGTAGAGGGGAGTGGGCTGATGATGATGGATGTGTGCACATGTTCACTCTCAGAGTCCCACTCGACTTTTTGAAAGTAGTTTATATGCTTCGTACTTCAAACACTTCAAACTCCTCGCAACTTGAACACACACATCTTCAACCTAGGATGAACCTCGCAGTCCACATGATCGAACTGCGTACTAGTGATTCACGTCATTTTTTGCCATTCAGTAGATGATAGGTCTGGCAAGGAATCAAGAGGTAAAACTCTCTAATAATCTGTTGGATCGCGTGCATTCATTTGCTGTGATAATTTTGTCCCATATCCTGCGAACCCACAGAGTAGCTTCTGTGTACTTTCACAATGCTGTCGCCCTTTTTAGGAAAAGAGCCATTTCCATTCGTGTACTTTCTTTATCGTTTCAGTCTCAAGATTCAATTGTTGCAAGACGTTAATGGAACTTCGGCAGCATAAACATTTTGCTATCTCTACCCCTTTCGGTCATTGAGTGAGATTTTTCGGTGAGCCACAATAGTACTGCCTTTTTCTCTCTCTCCTTACCTCGATCCAGATGTGGTTCTCTCCCCTATCAGTAAATCTCTCTTATGTTTTGTAGCCCTCAAGTCAGTCAACTGAAGCACTGGTCAAACGCAGTTATATTCAACAGTTTCACTTAGGCCCCAGACTTTCAGTCGCCATAAGCTCTCGTAGTTTAAAACTCAGACGTTGACAGGAGATTTTGGTACCAAAGTTGGGGCCGACCTTCAATTGTACATCACGCTGTAGTACGTTTTTCTTTTCGGCAAGGATCGAGTGTGCCTCTACTGTGGTTGGACCCCTGGCATGCCTCTTGTACTGTCACTTTCTCCCCGATCGATGGCACGGACCAACTGTTGCAGGCGGATGTGTTCTGCTGTTGCCTTCAGTTTTGTCTCTTGTCGTGTTCTGTTTGTTCATGAGCTTTTTATCCAACCTTTTATTCAGTTTGGTTATTTTTGCTCTTTGTACCCGTCATTGATAATTGCCAAATTTTCCCTCCAGGTTGGAGGCTTGAATACTAGTTGTAAACCAACCATCTCGCGCCTGTTATCCTAAAACAATAGTTGTGGCTCAGGCCACTGAAGTTGAGTGCATCCGTTTGTTTCTGCCATCATTCTATCCTGTTTCCAGATATCTTGTCGACCATGCGCATTCACTTGTCTGTGTTCGCTCATCGCTATTAGAGAAGGTTGTCCCGGTTTCCAGCATGGTGGCTACAGCTGCAGCTCGTGTGCTTTGCTCTCTCTAGAGATGATCTGATGGAGGAGAGAGTCCTTTGTTCAGTTTTTTTCTTGGTGTGTGTGGTGTGAAGACAGTTGGAACTAGTCGTGGATCATCGCAGCATTCCACAACCGGGCGGGGACGGGAGAGGGGTGGGGTGGGGTGGGGTGGGGTGGGGACGCGCAGGGGAATGGGGGATGGGAAGGGGGGAAGGGTGATTGATCCGTACAATCAACTAGCCCTGCTGGTATCTTCTTTCTGTTCATGTGCGCAGGCAGTCTGCAGGGTGTCCGCCTATTTACCGGGAGTGGAGCTGAAGCGGAGACAAGAAAGGAAACGTTCTCGCTTTTGCGTAGGTCTTTTCAGCACCTCCTCAGGCTGAGGAGGTGATGATCAGAAAACGGATAAACAAACACACACGCACACACACAGACGGGGCTGTCAAGTGAAGGCGAGGAATGGAACTTACATAGTTGTTTCATTCCGCTGTGTTCTTTTCACCATGTTCTCGTGCTGAGGAGAGGCTCAGCATGATGAATGGTGAAGAGGAGGGAGGGGAGGAACAGGGTGTGCCCGCACGTGAAGAGCGAAGAGTGTCAATCGTGGGGATACCAGGCCTTCGGAGAACGACTGAAGTCCTTTGACTATAGTAGGTAGGGTTATCAAGTTACTTGCCTCCCTTCCCCCCTTTCTGGGAGGAACTGGTAATGTTGTAAATGCAGCTGATTTGAATTTTTCTAAGTTTCGTTAATGAATCTTCCCTTGTCACCTTGTGTATATTATTTTGTCGGTGAGCAACGGCTTGAATCTCTAATGATGTCAATTGTTATACACTTAAGTGATTGAGAAAAACAACACAGTAAGTCATGCGCCGTCACAGGCTTGCTGGTACGCGTATATGAGAGGGGACCAGTCTTGATTGGTGTTGTTTATAATGGCACAGGTTCTCCTTTCTTTTGTGTAAATTAATTTATACGTTGGGGTAACTCGTTTTGATGCGGTTCATTATGGTTAAGTGGATGTGGTTTTGCAGTTGTAAAGTTTGTCAATCAACAGCCAAGGTGAAACGTCTTAGCTCATGTTAGATATATTCTCATTGATTGCTTGCGTATCTCAATGTAGCGGTAGGCATTCTTCAATGAAGTGATGGTGATGGACACGGCAAGTTAGAAGCCAATGGAGAAGGGCAGTTGGTGCTGGGTTTTTTTTTTTTTTTTTTTTTTTTTTTTTTTTTTTTTTTTTTTTAATTTATTTTCTTGATGTTCTCTTGATGTATACGTGTCGTCCTTATGTAACAGGCATGCTAATCTTCGCTGTATTGTTCCAATTTTGACTTATGCCCAAAAGTACAGGAGGATGGAGATGTCACTGGACTGCCTTGTGTTTTCTACTACAGGTAAACTCAAAGGTGGCTGGAGATCTGGTGCCTGTGCGAGGTAAGGAAGACGGTGCAAGTGAGGGCTTTTCTAACTTGAGATAGATCTCAAGGGGGAAAAAAAAGTCTCATTTGCAGCAGTGTCTATTGAACCACCACTCGCTTCGAACGTTTTTTAACGAACCTTTCCGGACCCTGGAGCACCGGACCTTAAAAGTTTTGTGCCTGCTGGTCACAGAAGGGGACAGAAATATGCGTACTTTTGCGGCGAGGATGTTTATTTGTCATGTGGGGATTTCTTTTTATTTTGATGATGATGTTAATCCATTAGAATTGGAACGATACAGAGAAAATAGGCATGGCCCCTGCGCAAGGTTGCCAAGCACGAACCCAAATTGCAAAATCATGCTGAAGACCAGATAGTCGAGTACCAAGCAGAAAGCACAATGCACCGAGATACAACCCAAATAAGAGCAATATAATGTCTCTCTCCATCCCCAACAGTATCCAATGCCGCGCTTCTCGATTGGCGCTTAGTGCCCAGCCTATCCAACTCAGCACCTATCTAGCCTACCACTATGACATGCAACAGGAGTCACTTCAAGCTGAAGACCAATGTACGATACGAAGGCTCCGATGCAAACTGCCGCGTACAGCAGTTATACGTCTGTTCTCCCATCTGCCTCATCCCTGTCTCCCCACAGTGTGCATCCCTGTCACCGGAAGACCACCATCGCCCTTACCAGCCTGCATGTGGCCAGCCCGACTATGGCTGCCGTGCGTCCACTGCCACTGCAGTGCCCCTCTCACCTCTAGCGCCTGCGTGTGCCCTCTGGCTGACCAGCGTCAAGGCAGCCTACCTGTGCTCAGTTGAGCAGCATGGCCGCCTGATCGTGCGAAGCCAGAATGTGCTCTCTGGCGCTGGGCACTTTCCTATATGGAAAGTTCTGCGCCGTGGAGGCTGACTGGCCCTGGAGGCCTAGTGCACTCTAGCCTGGCGGTGTGCCCCATCACATGCGCCCAGGCGGCGCCCACCTGCACGATGTGGCTGCTGTTACTAGCAGATTTCTAATTGGCCGAGAGGCCACTTGCCACGTCGCTGCCTGAATTTTCATTGGCCCAGGGAACTCTGGCCACGTCGCAAGCTGGGTGAGCCCAAAGGTTCAGCATGTCGTGCCTCCACTGGGCGTGGGCCTTGTAACCAACTGGCGCCTGGCAACTGTCTAGCGCCCCCATATGCAGAAATGACAAAGACAGGGCCTCATGTCAAAATGCAGGCCTGCCATCCCTAGGGCGGGCATGAGGCTTGCTGGGGTCCCCTTGGCCTGTCATGTGCCGTGGCGAAAAGGCCCATGCGAGGGCTAATCCTCGCACTCCCTCGTACTTAGCTTCAAAAGTCCACTGAGATGCTTTCATCCAGGTGCTTTCCCCTTCAACTTTCGTTCATATTCAGCAACGACCTGAGGTGCTGTCTTAATCAGCTCCTCCGTGAACCAAGGATCTTCATTTGGATCCGTGTGATGCCTGAATCTGACCCTGTACTCTCTTGTAGGTTTTGGTGGTGGTCCTCTGCCAACTGGCTTAGGAACAGGCAGATCTCAATGATCCATAATGCCGTCAACGTTCACATGGCCATTCACGGTTGGGGGCAGCAGTGAACTGCTTGGTGGGAATCGGTCTGTCTCAGTGAAAGGTGAAAGTTTGGAAGCGTGAAAGATTGGGTAAGTGTGTAGGTTACGAGGGATTCTAATCACATAGGAGGGACCATCCGGATCACTACCCACAATATCCAAGGCTTTCCGAGGACCAAGTACTGAGGCATTAGCTTTCAAAAGATGCCGAACTCCTGTCGTAACTCACTGGTCCAACCCAGACTCGTTCTCCTACCTGAAATGTGGACTGTCGTCTGTGTCTCTTCTCAGAGGCTATCATAGCTTCCTGAGATTTCTTGATGTGCTCAACAGCCTGCTACAACAGTTTCTCATACTGGACACCAAATCAGGCGTTGCTGCTGGTTGGTTTTCAGGAAGGAGAAAGTCTTAACGCTGATCTAGGCTTCCACCCCAAGTGCAGCTCATTCGGGGAGACATCGGTGGTGTTGTGAACTGTGTTGTTGTACAGGCTGGCAATGAGAGGAAGTTTCTCACCCCAGTCCTCCTAGCTTGGCTTGATGTAATGCCACAGCAGAAGCTGTGCCAAGCGGTTCGTCTGCTCCGCTTGGCCATTGGCTTCGAGATGATTCCGTGAAGCCATACGGAGTTGGCTTCCCATCTGTTCAGCCAGTTTTTCCACATCTCGGTGGTGAAACGAACATCTCTATAACTAACAATTGACTTGGGCAGTTGAAATCACACACCCAGTTATCCATGAATAGCTTGGACGTGCTTAGTCTTTGCAGTTTCTAACATGGCAACCAGCCTAGTCTACTTGTTGAACCGATCTACTGTGACAAAAATATGTCTCTTGCAACTGTTGCTTGTCATGTGGGTATCCATGAAGTCCATCGAAACGCCCTGTCGCGCGCAAGCCGGTTGGTAAGGGCTCGATTAACCCAAGCGGAGCTTTTGGCTGGTCCAGTTGACAGACTTGACAAGTCTGTACGTAGCGCTTAGCATCATCAAGCATAGAAGGCCACCAAAAACGCTGTACCAGGTTAGCACTACTCTTCTTGTAACCAAAATGTCCCTTTGCATCATGACATTCTCCTAGAAACAAACTACGCAAAGACTTGTTAGACGGCACACACAATCTTTTAAACCTTGCCTTTTCAAGAAAGAGTAACCCATCCACCTCATAAACTCACTGGATGTGGTTTTGTCTTTAGCCTCAAATTTGTGGATGATGTCCATCATGATGGGACCTTCTTTGTAGGCCTTCTTTGTAGCCTCAAATTTGTAGATGATGGGACCTTCTTTGTAGCCTCAAATTTGTGGATGATGTCCACCAGGGATCGAGTAAGGTCGTCTAATAGGCCAACCATTGTAATCAGCACACCTTGGAAGTCTTTCCTGCGTGAAAGTGCATCGGCAACCTTATTGTACTCCCTTTTCACATAATCTAAGCTTAAGTCGTATTGATTCAGCCCTTGAGTGCATTGGAGAGAACAGGTTGCATCTTTGTCTGATGGTCAAATCTCAAGAAAAAAAAATCTGCCCAAGAGATAATGTCTCCAGTGGATTAAAGCTGTGTACGGGGTGTAGAGTTCCCGCTCACAGGTGGATTTCGCCAATTTCTTTAATGGCATCTTCTTGCTCGTGTACTCGATCGGCCTCAACGTTTTCCCCTCCTGCTGAGCCAGCACTGTGCCAATGCCATATTGGCTTGCATATAATGAATGGATTCTCAAGATCAGGACATGACGATCTCATGATGCATGAGAGCATACTTCAATCGTTGGATCTCTCGCAATCATCAGTCCATTCCCATGGGGTGTCAAGGCATGATAGATCCATCAAGGGGGCAGCCACCGTGCTATAATTCTTTTCAAAATTGCGGTAGTAGCCTTTCGACACCCTTTCATCTCCAAGAAGGACCTGACCTTTGTCATAGATTGAGGTTGTGGCCAGTCCCAAATGCTAGCCACCTTCGCATCTTCCGGCCTATAAGTCTATCCACGAATATCTCATGACCCTAGTATAAGATCTTGGTGCGACTGAACTCACATTTCTTCAAGTTGATCTTGTACTCGTGCGGTTGCAGGAGTCGAAGCACAAGGTCTACATGCTGCGCGAGCTCCTCAACAGTCTTATTGAAGATAAGGATGTCGGCAAGGTACACGATGATAAACTTATCTAAGTAGTCGTGAAACACCCTATTCATGGCGTGCAGAAATATACCCGGCGCATTGCGAAGGCAACAAGGCATCACGATAAACTCGTACAGACCGTACCTGGTTTGGAAAGCAGTTTTTTGCTGATCCTCCGGTCTAATAGCAATCTGATGATACCCGGACTTCAAATCTATCTTAGTGAAGTACTTAAATTCGTGCACCCTATTCGATAGGTCGTCAATGCGGGGTAGAGACTTTGGATCTACATCTACACCTACTATAAGAACTGCTAAACGTCATATCTCACGGCCTGAATCGCGGGCCGGTAATGCGCCGCGGACGGCCTAGATCGCAGGCCGATCAGAAAGTTTTCTGATCGGGCTGCAATCTGGGCCGTCCGCGGCGCGTTACCGGCCTGCGATTTGGGCTGTGCGACGTCGCTACCGGAGGCGCCGAATTGCAGGCCCGCCCACCCCTCGAATCGTGGGCCACCCTTCCGCCCGCCCGTTCGCTGGCCCGTCCCGCCCGTTCGCCCGCCCGTCCGCCCGCCCATCATCCGGCCTGCCGGCCCATAATCGTGCCCCCTCCCCCCCCCACTCCAAGCTCGGTGTTTGGTACCGGAAGCGCCGAATCGCCCGCACGCCCGTTTTTTCGTTGTCGGCCCACCCCTCCAATCGCCCGCACGCAATGTTGTTGCCGCCCTCGGCCACTTCTCCAATCGCTTGGCATTTGTCTGCCTTTCTCAACGTGCGCCTGTGTGCTCCGTGGTCGGTGCGCGTGTGCTCACCGGTCGGTGCTCTACGGGTGCCTCTCTCTCTCTCTCTCGCACTGTGCTCTCTCTTTGGTAGTCGGTGCTCATCGTGGATCCGTGCTCCGTGCTCCGTGCTTTCGATTTGGTGCTCGGTGCTCATCGTGGATCCGTG